AGAGAGAGAAATGTATGGGCTTGTACGGGTCGGGTGTCATGCCTCACTTTTCTTGGGTTTGACACAGTTGCTTGTCTCTGAACCATTTGTCTCTGAAACTTTGTGGTTTCAAAAGCATCACTTGGAGTTTTGCTGCTCAGACCCCACATCTACCTTGCCCTTACACTCTTGGACATATTACTGTTTTTTCCATGAGCTTTAGAAGCTAGAAGAAGCTCTCTAACAAATCCTATCATCCATCTTTTCTTACATCTCTCAGACATCCCACTTTTTACACTCAATAGCTGTAAACCAATTAACTTTGAAGAGGCGTACTCTCCACCCAGAATTCTCATGACATCCAGGTGCGTTATCTTGCTCCCAATTAGGATGGTATGTGTTGAGTCTTCACACTGGGCTTCCTTCATCCTTGCCTCATCATCGCAGTTCTCCCTGTACCAGGCAAACTGGAAAACAGTTTCACAGCCTATCACATTCCAGTGTCTTAGAATCATTTCACTTTGAACCTAACAGTTTCCATTTTATCTGACTACAAATCCCACTCTTCTTCAGATCATCACAAGCTTGACTTCTGATTAGTGTGTATTTTGTGACAGGCTGCACTCACTGTGATAGCTATTTTGCAAATGAACAACTCCTCCCCATGATGACCATTTTGTGAAAGTGCCCAATAACATTCTCTTCAAATTCCAGATGTACCTATTGGCTCAAAATGGTTGAGAGCCACATATTTCATTAGCATTAGAAAATGCTGAGGTTATATTTAAGGCAGATGCTTGTTCACATAGTTTTTAACTATACAGTTCTTTAGAATCATGTACTACCAGTCATGGTCCCTGCTGGTTTGGATGACAACATACCTTCATGAAGGATAAAGGTTATTACTGGCTGTTAGCTGTGTTGGCTTTATCTCCAGAATCAGAGGAAGTGTACCTCTGAATAAAAAAGATTTTTAAAATGGCAGCTTGTTGACCAGTAGCATTTTGCCCCTGAAGTGTACACCATTGCACTTAACACTGATGTGACTGACCAATAAGATTCTAGTCATGCTATAATACTGAAGAAAGTATAATCTACAGGTGTTTGATAAGGTAATGAAAAATTCCATTTTTCCTTTGCAATTGTGGTCAGAATTAAATTGTTGCTATGTGATTGCTACAGCATTTTCTAATAAAAACCACTATTCATACTGGAATGACTTAAGTAAATATTTAGCATGTCCATTATGAAAAATGAATATCATCTTATCCAGAATAATTAGGAAAGTATTTTTTTTAATTGCCTTACCCAAAATACTTTCACAATTCTTGTAACGGCAATTTTTAGAACCATCTCTGGATAGATCACTAACAATACCATTTTACAGAAGGGGAGCTGAATAAAAGTGTCTTGTCCAATGATTTTCATCACTTGTTCACCTGGAGAGAATACCAAGCCATTTCTCCTCACAGAGTATCATGTGCATCTGACTTTCAAGATTAACTATCTTATTGTTAATTCATCTTTCAGAGAAAAAGCTGAAGTGCTGATGATGGCAAGGCAGCTGGCCCAACCATCACCCTAAAGCAAGCATTGATTTGGCTAATAAGGAAAGGCATTATAGATATCGTTGCATCTTTCAGAACATCAAGATGGGCCAGAGGAGGGAGGTTTCTGTCCTGCCGTCACTTGTTCTGACCATCAGGAGACTTTCAGTGGCCAGGAAAAGTGATAGCAAGTGATCAGTATCAACTGGGAGCATCAG